TGGTTTGAGTTATACAGGAGCTGATTTGACTTTCTTTTTTGTTTGCCAGTTTTCAAATCTGGCAAAGGCAGCAGTACAACCCATTTTATTAAGAATATCTAAATATTGTGCCCCTTAATGAACAAGAAAGAAAAGGGGTTATGGGAGCTCTCCAAATCCAGTTATACTATGTAGGCATAGGTTCATAAGTCATCCAGAGAAGAAAACCTTAAAGAAGGCTCCACTTTTAATACAATATTGATATATCATATATAGTTGCAGCACAGGGGAGAGCTGGGAACCTTGGGTCTGGAAGGCAAATATATCCAAATGACCTATTTATGGTAGGGAAAGTTTCCTGTAGACTAAAAAAAGTTCACAACACAAAGTGGTCTGAGTTGCTCCAGTGACCAATCATGGAAAAATGTGGGTGCAGTTCTCATTTGTGGTAACACATATTCACACATAAAGAGTTAGGATAGTAAATGAGGAAGTAATTTATTAATGCTGAACAACATAACCTCCAAAATAATATTGCTTTTCCTAAATAAAAGCACTCCCTATGTCTTCCACTGCTCACTTGTCTCTTATTCTACTGTCTGAAGCTTTGATGGCGCATAATTAGAAGCTAGTACTGGTGCTCTGAATGTTAATATGGATCTGTGTGATATGCTTTGCATAGCCTGTCTCTGTGTTTGCAAATGCCCTGGTCTGGATAACCTTCAGCCCCAGCTGTTTCTCAATAAAGAGAACTATGGTCTAGAGGCAGAGCCAGCTGTGGCCACCCCCTCCGCCGTCTGTTCCTCCAGTCAGAGGAACAGTCTACACCTTTTCTGCTTTAAGGTACTAGTACCCTCACCAGCCACACGTTCTGAGAAACGTTTTGCTACATGTGCTTGCTAGAACTGAATCCTTGTATCATATACAAAGGTAGTGTTGGGTGAGTCAGCAAATGTTTGCCATTGTGAGAGGAAGGTTCCTGAATTTTCCAGAGAAAAGACCGGGTTATATCTCAGGTGACTCCAAGCCTAGGGACTGATGAAAATGTTTAATTATATATGGCTCTGTGGAAAGTTTTTAAATTTGTTGAGAAACAATATTGGGTACAATGAATTCTGGTCTTGTAAGAATACTAATTGCTTGGCCATTATGCTGACATAGTGGCTTGGGTCTTTATTGAGTAACTCACTGGGGAAAAGTATGCATATCTAGAAAGCCAATTCAAAGTTTTCAGCCATATTTATTTCAAGGAAACATATTCCTTGAACTTATTCCTTAAAATATATACAAAGAAATAATCCCACCACCTGTTTAGGGCTTCAACTTTTTTTTTTATCCAGGCATTGAACTGTAATGCACCAGTCCACCCCACTCCTTTTTGGACAGCAATTTGGTGATCTCGCACCTTTCTTTGCTTGTGTGTAATGTAGGACAGGTATTCCCAAAAACACACACACGGTAGGCACCTGATACATACTTCAGTAAGCAGAAACTCCCACTAAACATATGATAGACTGAATGGAGTCTGGCTGCAGTGGATTAAACAGAACACAGAGTGATGCTATGACAAATTAATTTTTAACTAAGTTATTAAAAAGAAGAAGTAAATGCTGATAAGGAAAAAACACTTTATTTGTATTCCCTAATAACAGGGCACTTTCTCCTATACATACATAGGGAGAAAAATGTCCCTATAAACGAGAGTGTTTCAATCATTGAAAACCATTTTATGAAAATACATTAAACAATTGGCAATCTAAATTATTTCCAGTAAAGAGTAAATAAAATATGAAAAAAAGGGGAATTTTCATTTAGGAATTACAAATAATACAACAAACAAAAAAAGCAGAATGACAAAAATGTTTTCAATGAACAGCACAATGCAAAAGGTTTTATCTAGAAATAAACATTCAAATGTATTGTAGTGCCCCCCCGCCCCCCCCCCGATTCTAGGGGCAGGGGAGCTGTCATTTCACCTTAAGGATGGATCCTTAGCCGGAATGTGGGATGTGTGAAGTGAAATTGGGCACCAGTCACTTTTAGGATTTTTATGGTGCTTTATTAAAACACAGTGTTATAGCTTGCAGACATTTTGAGATCTCCCTTGGGTAAGACAGCAGACTTTTCTCTGAAGTCCAAGCCCATCCTGGCTTCTCCAGTGCAGACAAAGTTCCTCTATGGCTCTCCATCCCAGGAATAATCCTGGACCCCGACTGTGTTTTCAGTTGACCACCTGTAGACTTCTGGTCAGACGGCTCACACAACGCACCTCCCCCAGGCAGGAGGCTCTCACATGGTCAGACCCAGATATTTATGTCCTCTCAATAGCAGAATCCTTAAAGCCAAATGAGTATAGACTACAATCTAGCTAACTAAATTTAAGTAGTCACATAAGACTTCACTGGACAACACTGAAAAAAATAGTCTATACATCAACGGCACGGGTTTTATACTCACTGATAATCTGAAACTGAAAAAGACTGATTTTAATAAAAGTGAGCCAGTCCACAGTGTCAGGGACAGGTGGATTCAACTTCCAGGAATAAAACATCCTGGTGCACTGAAGGCCCTCTCAGCCAGCACACTGGCTGCAGGGCAACCCAGAAGCTCCAGGCATATATATACACACATACAGGATCTATTTTTAATATACTTCACTTTTACTTAAGGAAAGGAAAACCAATTATGTCCCCTAATGGGGTTGTTGATCCTTTCCATAACTTGTACCTTAAGAAAACTAATCACTAGAACCATGATGATCCGCAAAATGGCACACAACATTGGTATTTTTAGTATTGGTCCTAATTAGATGGTCCCTGAAATGGTCACATAACCAGTGTCCACAGTGCCCAGTCATGTACGTTTACTTCCATCAAAGGGAAACAAACTAAGAGATAGCACATTGCCAATTATGGATTAGTTCCTGGCCACAAACTGAATCATGAGGACATTATCCTCCTAAACTTAACAGCACCCTGTTGTATAGGTAAATACCCGCATACCATTTGTTCGAGTTGTCTCTATCAGGGCGATGCCCATACTGTCCAGTCGTTAATTAATGGTGGTTTATTTGAAATTGGCAGTTTGTACTTTGTGTTGCTGCACAATTTGTGCAGTAGCTTGTAGCTTTCCTGCCACCCCTTCATTAGTGCAGATAAGCGGGCGGCTAATGCCTCACTCGTGTTCTGAAGCCCAGCCAAGCTGAAACAAAGCAGCCACTACCAGAGCAGCGTGTCCTTTCGCCCTGGCTGTTGAATGCCACTTGGATTTACCACCCTGTTGGAGGTGCTGTCAGTTGACATCGTTCTGGCGATTTGACCTGTTTCAACTAGGCTCGCATTCCCATAGAATTGCATGGGAATTCCAAACCCGTTTGCAGTGAACAAAAGGCTGACCACACACTTGGTGCCTTAAAGCATGCATCAATCCATCACCCATGTGGAGGGTGGAGAAGGAGAACTGGGCAAATCAATGATGGAGAGGGTTCTGGGTTGTCTTTGGAGCTCATAGATTTAATAACACCATTCAATGACAATCTGCAGCTTCTGACAGATCTATGTTCTTTTATTAATAGAGCTGAGAGATGCATATCTTGCTGTTATACAAAAGCAAGATCTCATCCTTAACGTGCAAATAAATAAATTCGGGGCACCAGCTTGAGTCAATTATAGTGAGATATCATTACTTTATATAAAAACAAAAAATATAGAAAATTGCATGGAAAGATTTTCATTTTAAAGATCAACTCCAGAAAAACATATTAACCTCTGCAGATGGGCTACCCTGCACTGTGGGGGTTAAGATCTCCTTTTTGTCTAGGTGCTAAAAAAATTAAGATCTACACACCCGAAGCTCCAAGCCAGCCAGCTGTCACATCGCTCCCTCCAACCTGTCTCGTCCTTCACTGCAGCATTGGAATCTTTCTCAGCATGCTCACGTCTATACACTGTGCATAGAATGTGATGATTTACGGGACTTTAAATTGCTGCAGAGGAGGGAGAGAGAGCCTAGAAGGACTGGTCTAAGAATAAGCCCAGCTCAGAGCATTGAGTGAGTATAACTTTTTTTGTAACCTAGACAAAAACAAGCAGTTAACTCATGCAGTGCGTGGGTAGCCCCAATACAAGAGTTAATAAAAGTTTTTCCTGGAGCTTTTCTTAAAGTTACCCACAAAAGATACAAGAACACTCTTTGCCACAGCAGGAATAGAGGTTTAACCTCATCAAATGTAAAGGGTTCTTTACTAAAAGAGTTGTAAAAATGTATATAGTTTTTGGCAGAAACTGGTACTAGAAAACATTTTGTTGTGTATTTCAAAAACAGTTGAATTTGTTACTAAAAGCACAAAGTTTGCATGTTCTCCCTATGTTCATGAGGGTTTCCTGCTGTGTTCCCCAAGATAAGGTAGGTTAATTGGCTGTCTAACTAGTCCCTAGTATATGTGTACAAATTGGGTATACACATGTTAACGCATTCTCCATTCCGAACCCAAGCCTGTATAAATGGGAGGGTTGGGCAAATACCTGGCCACCTACCTTGCAAAACATTTGCCATGGAAATTCTGTAGATAAAAGCTCAGGTGTATCAGATATGGTGTCCAGAGATCTGGCCGACAGAACCACAGAGACTCGGATATGAATATAGGGATAGCACACATACACTGTTTAAAAAAGATTTCAACTGTAGGTTTTGTGTTCCAAGGATGCTATATTTTTTGATTTGATAGAATTTGATAGGCATGTTTGTTTTTCCACATATTCTGACATTAGCACAATTGCAGTGTTTATTAGATGGTATGCCCTGATTTCTCTTGTTGCCTGGAATTACTTAATAAATAAGATAACAAAACAACTACAACGATCATTCTTTAATGTTAAAAAAAGATCAAAAATTTCACTTTAGCCTTAATATTTTTAATAAAATTTGTAAAATTAAAATGCAATCCAAAAAAATAGCCAAACAAGACATTAAATACTAAAACATTAAAAATAAAAAATAAATTCTACATGAAGAGCAAACTAAAAAAATGCTCAGTCCATGAATCACTTGTGTAACTGGACACAGCATGAGTTATCTGTAAACATTTACAACAGGCAGAATGATGTTGTATGGCAGTTGCCCCTAGTGAGTTTGAATGGATCCTGTAAGAATGGCAAGCTTTATTTTCTCACGTTTTCCGTATTCTCTTGTTGCTCCTTCTCCAATCTCATTTCTTTCAATTCCTGCCTGTACTTCCGTTCGATAAAACGCTTCTGATGAGCCATCTGGGGGAAGTTATCTGGGGAAAGGAAAACAATGACATCACCTACGCTGTGCCTGCTGTAAGTGTGGGTTTTCTGGTCTGCCAAAGACAGCTATACCAGAATACAGGTTCAGACAGACCCAACGAAATACAGATGTGCCTTTAAATTTATAATAGGAATTGTTAAAGAAATCTAACTCGACTGCACTGTTCAGCAATTAGTGATGACGATTTTAAAAGCATACTTGTAGAAGCACTTCCTTTTTGGTCATGCTAAACAAAGATCCAAAGTCAATATATTGTTGCAGATGAAACTGCTTCAAGCAAGTAACAAATGAGCACTGCAAGGCTTTAACTGCAGTAAAAGAAACACACAAAAGACAAAAATAATCTTACATTTCTCCAAGGCGTCCATAGCAGCTTGCATCTCAGCCTGCTGAATGCTGAAAGAAAAAAAAACCCCTCCAATTAACCTAATTACCTCCATCAGTTTTAAGTGAGCTCTTAAATCCTTTTAAGCGGCAATAAGAAGAGAAAATGAGAAAGGGATACGCAATACTCCTTCAGGGTCTTGCAAAAAAACAATTGCAAAACCTTCTGACATTTCAAAGATAGCTATGATTCAAACTTATTGGCAATACTAAAAGTTCTTTCCTAGTTTACTATTTTTTGCTTTTGTCAAACATCGCCAACAATCAAAGACACTAGCTTTAGTGGTTCCCATTACAGCTAAAAGATGTGGTATCTTAAAGAAATGGCTTTGTAAATGACACACCTGTGTTGAGCATACAATTGTTTGCTCTACTGTTCCACATTTGATTAATACTGCAGTTCATCTTCTTCACATTTTCTACCTGTCTTATATTTGTTGTCCCATTCTCTTTATTACCTCCTTTACATGCTACTTAAGTTTCCTTTACCTCCTCTTATGTTGGTTATTAGATGGCTAATACTGTACACAGTTACTACTCCATGTAAAGTACAGAAAAAACTGCTTGGATCTCTCTAACCTGACTTAAAAGGCCCATTCACACCAATGCACATGCAGTAGCGTCTCTATGGCACGCGTTACTGCATGTATTTTTGCATGTGTTTAAGTCCACCTTTAACACAAGTGCGATTTTATGTGTGTTTTTAACATGTTTTTGTGTGATTTTATTACGGTTATGCAAAGCAGGGGAACAATATAGACGTTGCATTATGCAAGTGTGCAGAAAACACATATAATAGGATTTTTATACTTACCATAACATCCATTTCTTGGAGTCCATTGAGGGCCACAAGTCTTTAACCTTCAGGTTATAATGCTGCCTACAGGAAGACTGGACACTGGTATACAAAATAATTGTAGGCAAGCCAAGGATAGCCCCTCCTATTGCAAGCATGCCTAAGATTTGTAGTAAAACAGTACCACAAACAAGATCATATACAGAGATCCTTTTCCTGAAATCCCTCAACGAATTTCAGGAAAAGGATTTCATGGTGAGTACAAAAATGCTATTTTCTTTCTGGTCCATTGAGGGACACAGAAAATCCTAAATCTTTGAGATGCCCAAAAGCAGTTTATGCTAAGCAGTGGTCAGCAAACCAGCAAAGAAATGCTAATAGGCCTAAGAAAAAAAAACAGAACCAGGGACTGGCTGCAGCTAAAAGAGCTGCCTGAAGGACTGTATGCCCGCAGCTGGCATCAGATCAGGCCACAATAAGAGAACAGTTGCTTGATGTTGAAAAGTCTTAGAAGCACTCAGAGATCAAGAACAGTGTGCCTTGACAGAAAAGGGTGGAACCCGTTTCCTAAGACCAAGCTTGGATCATGGACTGCCAACTTAGAGATGGTGGAAAGAGAAGGCAGTGCACTTTTATGTGGTCTAATTGGGATTACAAAAAGGCAGAAAGAAACAAAGTCTGAGGGAGTCCAATACACATGAAGACAATGGAGGGAAATTTCCTTTTGGTGAATAGGGGCAGACAGAGGGATGGAAGAACAATGTCCTGGTTGAGGTGAAAAGTAGACACTACCTTAGGGAAGAAGTAAATCTTGGGCCTCAACACCACCTTGCACCTATGCAGAGCAAGAAAAGGTTCCTTGTAGGATAGTTCCTTAAAGTATGGAGACTCTCACCAAGTGAAGTATGCCTTCAATGTCTGAAGACAAACCTTGCTAGAAGTAGATTTTTCTAGCTTTAAGCATTGTAGGAATCACAGACTCAGAAATGTAAGTGTTTCCCAGCACTGCAGACAGAGTCCCCCAGGGATGGTGGGGGTTGTGATAGAGACTGGGAGGAGAGAGAGACAGATCGACTGACGCTGAGAGCTTCTTGGCATCGATCCGTCGGTCTCTCTCATGCTTCCGTCCCTCCTCTCAGCATGGTCGGTCGGTGTCTCACTCTCTCCCCCCTCCTCCTCTCAGAGAAGGGGGTTGGGGGGGAAAGTTAAGAGAGACCGATTTGACCACTAGGTCCGGGGGCATTTTCTTACTATTTGCACACCACACTCATGATAAAATATATATTTTTGGCTAGAAAACAGCTTCAGACCCCCAAACAATGATATATGTTCTGAAAGCAGAGGCCCTGAAGAATAGAAAAATGCTAGTTGCAATTTTTTATGTCGCACAGTTTTTGCGCAAATGTTTATCAATCCAGTATTTTTAGGAAAAAAGCAACTAAATTAAAATTTAGTGCAAAGAAACATAATATAATACAGAATTTTTTGGTAAAATATGAAAGACAGGGTCAAGTCAGGTAAATAGATGCCAAACATGTTAAGCCTCAAAATTGTGTGCGCCTGTGAAGCTGCAAAAAAAGTAAATAATACAAATTTCCCATAGGAAACATTTTAAACATTTTTATCGCTCATCAGTTTAGTGCTAACGTTGTTTGATGGGCCTAGAATTATTGCTCTCACTCCGACATTCATAGCGATATGTAACATGTGTAGCGAAATTTTTGTTTTCGTGTGTATGTGCGTGCACGTGGGGGGCGAGAGACTTAAAAAAAAAAATTTTTTGCATTTTTTTTTCTTATGTTACTTTAATTTTTAAACACTAACCCTATTGCTATCACATGGGGGGATAACAAGCACCCTATGTAATAGCAGATAGGGTTTGACAGGTCCTCTTTATGGACCCCTAATGCTAATGGACCCCAAAGTAGCTGAGGAAGGAGAGATCTGCTTCCCCAGCTTCATCTCCTGGCTCTAAAAGCCAGAGACTGTAAAGCTGGCCATACACCTTACAACCATCGCACGACTTTCGTTGTGCGATGGTTGTAAGGTGATTAAAAGTTCATACTACCTGCCCATCATGGACAGGCAGATCGTACTTGGGATCATCGCAAGTCCTCCCCGCTGAGGGGAGGGCTTGCAGATGATTGCAATGGTGAACGGACAGTGTGCGCTTGCACACCTCGGGCCGTGCGGCTTTCGTCTTTCGATCGCGCTACCAACCCGTCGAAAATCGTTTCTAGCATGCTCGTTATACGAAAATCAGTAAATGCGGTCCCATATAACGCTGCCCATATACCTTACGAATATCGTATGATCGCGGGATCAGCCGTGATAATTGTACGATAATCGTAATGTGCATGGGCGGCTTAAGAGTGACACCGGAAGTGATAATACACATCACTTCCGGGTCCAGCGATCGGACGGGAGATCAGCGGCTGGAAGCCGCTGAATCTCTCTCTGATCATTGTGGGGAGACCCGCTGAGCCGCTCCCGGGCTCCGCTTGAGGACAGCAGTGCCCGTGACTGCAGCAGCCGTGTTCTTGTTTTAACCACTCCTGCGGGCAGCCGTCTATAGATGTATTGGTTAATACAGAATGTACATTGAGGACATTGGAGTATGAGAAGGACCTGAATACAAAGTGACCCCAGTACCACATTAGAGAGGACACAACCATTTAGAGTGATATTAATCAGGACCGCATTCAGGGGGGTACGCCAGTACCACATTAGAGAGGACACAACATTTTATAGTGATAATAATCAGGGCCGCCACCTGGGACCCTTACCTGACTATTGGCTGATGGT